GTCTGAATCTCTGAGCCTGTGTTCACCTTTTAATGGTTCGTCAGCGCTGAGTTAACGGGGCGAGATTTCTACTTCCAGTTGTTTTTTGACATTTGAGCTTGTGGATATGGCTGTGGTGTGGTTTGATGCAAACTTGAACTGGTTGTTCACATACTAGGTCTGAGAGTATTTGCTTATTGTCGACAGCCCAATGCAAAGAACATTTTGCTGGTTTAACAGCAAAATGGCTCAACAATAAAGATGATCTAAACTGATCTGAAGCCATTGAAAGTGTTTTAGTTTGTCATATAAGATCAGTACTGTATATTACATGTACATGTATTTTTATGCTTTGCAAACTTTAACATTTGGCTGCAAAAATGTATTTTTTATTATGTAAAATTGTCTGTCTGGCTGACAGCTAGAATCATTAATAATGGAACTGTAATGGATTTTAAATTACAGACCAATTTGTGATGTGCGTGGCATGATTTTTCAGCAAAATTGTTTGACATTTAAAGTAATAAAAGTTTATAACTAAATGTTATTTTAAATAACTTTTTATTCATTCGATCAAAATTATCACGTTTCCACAAAAATATTAAGCAACACACCAATGATAACATTAAGAAATAAAACTAAATGTAATAATTCTAATAATATTTTATAATATTATTTTGTATACACTGTAATAAATGTCCACCTATTTCAAGGTAAAAACTTAAGTTCAGTTGCTGCCTAAAATTAAATATAATCAACTTGGCATTTCAAGCTAAATTACATTAAACCAACTTTAAAAAAGCAAGTTGAATTTTAAAAAAAATATTTAAAAAAAGTTGAAATTTATCAACTTATTTTGAGTAAAATTAATGTAAAAACATAAGCTGCAGTGATTTACTGATCATATAATTTTTTTAGAGTGTATCTGTGATCAAATAAATGCAGCCTTGGTGAATATCAGAGACTTATTGTGTGTGCACCAAAAGTGAAGCGAATGTTCACATTGCGATATCGCTCTAGATTACTCGCAGGATATGTTTCGCCTCACTCGTGCGAATAAAAACAGTGTAATGCTCTCCTCCATTTTCTGATACAACCGGACGTGTCAATAAGCTCTTCGCTTATTGGCTTACGTGACAACTTGTCATGCGAATTTTCCACTCGAGTTGAAATTTTTCAACTTGCGCAGAAAGACGCGATTGAGGCGTATACTGTGTTCGCAGCAATCGCGCTGCCCAATTCGCTTGATTTCTGTCGCCCTGACAAATTGCAAATTGGCGTGTATTTGTGTCTTTGCATTGACTTTGTATGTAATCTACTTTATAACTATAATTAAATTAGCTTTTGGTGTGTACACTATTAAGAGTCCAAAACATCAAAAATTCTTACCAACCACAAACATTTGAATGGTTTTATGTGTGTAAAACACATTTTAAGAGTTATAAAAATATATATTAAATAATGCATGTAAAAATTGATCTTATTAGAAGGTTTTGATGCAAGACTTTTCCGCTAGTCAATCATTTTGCTGTATGGGAAGCATGAAGCTGAGATCAGCTGAGATAAATCTGTTAAAGTGTTTTCTCTTAAAAAATGATGATTTTGTTTATAATGTGTCTGGATTGCATTTATAATAGACCTTTTATCAGTTCATTCATTTCTTGGGAATCGAACCCATGAGCCCCATGAATTTAACACATTAGCATTCATCCAACCACCATAAAGACAAGCCTTTTTACTAGCCACATTTTTAAAAGTCACCCTTTTAATACATTGCACTTATTTGGCCCTTTAATTAGACAAATTATGCTTTATTCATGCCAAGAGCCAGACAACAAGTTTCTCCTAGCAATGAGACATGGTTTATATGTAGCCAGACATCAAATTTCCTGACATCTCATTTACTTCTATAG